ATCACTTGTCAGCCATTGTAGAGGTTCCACAAGCACTTGTGCTGGGTCCCTCTATATTTTGCCAAGATCACCTCAAGATCTGACCCCCAAGGAAAACAGTTATAATCAACTTAAATAAAGTATATTAAATTATTATACATGAAATTTACAAAGGTTAGGATTCTTGGTAAGTTTAGGTGCAAAATTTCAAAAAAAAAAAAAATCCTTAGCTATAATTACTCATTTTCTAAGGGTGCAAGTAATTACCCATTTTCTATGGGGAGGAAGGTGGGTGGAAGGAACTGTTGGGGGATTTCCTAAACAAAATAATTGAAAACCTTTTTTTGCCAACTTAATTAAAAAAATGCATTATGATAAAAATCATGAACATAAATTTTATATGTAGTATTAATCAAGGCATTACAAAAAGTATCATAACATAGTAAATTTACTGTATCCATCTATTACCCAAATTTCACAATAACAAAACTTTAATGTACTAATAAATACTTCTCTCACATAAGCCTAACAGATGTTAAAAACGCTAATATACTGTACAATCGTAACTTTATTTGCCAAAGTTATTGTATCTCCTAAGAATATTAAAGTTCATTACACTACTCTAGCAAAGACAAATTATCAATTTACTTATTTGTATTAGTACTGTGACTTCTCATCCATGACTGTGTTACCTGTGAAAGTCATCTGGTATTAGTACTGTGACTTCACTTTCATGACTGTGCTGCTTGTGAAAGTCATCTGATGCACAATACAAAGATATTTAAGCTCAAATGAAGTTTAGTCTTGGTTACCATAGTTGGTTTGTAAGAATTAAGATTTACTAATCAAGGTTATTAAAGATGAATAACTCCTATATTAAAAAATTTAGGAATATTTTAATCTTGATAACAAAGGTTGATACACTCAGTGTATATACTCGACTATATATACACCTTTTGGTATATATACCCTGTTCCTTAGAGTCAAGATAGTTCATAGCATGTAGTTGTATTTCTAATGTAGGTGTATATTGTATATATAATACTGTGTGACACTATCATAGCATGAATAAAAAAAAAAAATTTAAATCTTTCTTAATTATATAAAACTGGGATGCTTGAATGTGCGTGGATGTAGTGCAGATGACAAGAAACAGATGATTGCTGATGTTATGAAGGAAAAGAAGTTGGATGTCCTGGCCCTAAGCGAAACAAAGCTGAAGGGGGTAGGGGAGTTTCGGTGGGGGGAAATAAATGGGATTAAATCTGGAGTATCTGAGAGAGTTAGAGCTAAAGAAGGAGTAGCAGTAATGTTGAAGGATCAGTTATGGAAGGAGAAAAGAGAATATGAATGTGTAAACTCAAGAATTATGTGGATTAAAGTAAAGGTTGGATGCGAAAAGTGGGTCATAATAAGCGTGTATGCACCTGGAGAAGAGAGGAATGTAGAGGAGAGAGAGAGATTCTGGGAGATGTTAAGTGAATGTATAGGAACCTTTGAACCAAGTGAGAGAGTAATTGTGGTAGCGGACCTGAATGCTAAATTAGGAGAAACTTTTAGAGAGGGTGTGGTAGGTAAGTTTAGGGTGTCAGGTGTAAATGATAATGGGAGCCCTTTGATTGAACTTTGTATAAAAAGGGGTTTAGTTATAGGTCATACATATTTTAAGAAAAAGAGGATAAATAAGTATACAAGATATGATGTAGGGCAAAATGACAGTAGTTTGTTGGATTATGTATTGGTAGATAAAAGACTGTTGAGTAGACTTCAGGATGTACATATTTATAGAGGGGCCACAGATATATCAGATCACTTTTTAGTTGTAGCTACACTGAGAGTAAAAGGTAGATGGGATACAAGGAGAATAGAAGCATCAGGGAAGAGAGGGGTGAAGGTTTATAAACTAAAAGAGGAGGCAGTTAGGGTAAGATATAAACAGCTATTGGAGGAGCTATTGGGCTAATGAGAGCATAGGCAATGGGGTCGAAGAGGTATGGGGTAGGTTTAAAAATGTAGTGTTAGTGTGTTAAACAGAAGTTTGTGGTTACAGGAAAGTGGGTGCGGGAGGGAAGAGGAGCGATTGGTGGAATGATGATGTAAAGAGAATAGTAAGGGAGAAAAAGTTAGCATATGAGAAGTTTTTACAAAGTAGAAGTGATGCAAGGAGGGAAGAGTATATGGAGAAAAAGAGAGAGGTTAAGAGAGTGGTGAAGCAATGTAAAAAGAGATCAAATGAGAGAGTGGGTGAGATGTTATCAACAAATTTTGTTGAAAATAAGAAAAAGTTTTGGAGCGAGATTAACAAGTTAAGGAAGCCTAGAGAACAAATGGATTTGTCAGTTAAAAATAGGGAAAGAGAGTTATTAAATGGAGAGTTAGAGTATTGGGAAGATGGAGGGAATATTTTGAGGAATTGTTAAATGTTGATGAAGATAGGGAAGCTGTGATTTCGTGTATAGGGCAAGGAGGAATAACATCTTGTAGGAGTGAGGAAGAGCCAGTTGTGAGTGTGGGGGAAGTTCGTGAGGCAGTAGGTAAAATGAAAGGGGGTAAGGCAGCTGGGATTGATGGGATAAAGATAGAAATGTTAAAAGCAGGTGGGGATATAGTTTTGGAGTGGTTGGTGCAATTATTTAATAAATGTATGGAAGAGGGTAAGGTACCTAGGGATTGGCAGAGAGCATGCATAGTTCCTTTGTATAAAGGCAAAGGGGACAAAAGAGAGTGCAATAATTATAGGGGAATAAGTCTGTTGAGTATAGCTGGTAAAGTGTATGGTAGAGTTATTATTGAAAGAATTAAGAGTAAAACGGAGAATAGGATAGCAGATGAACAAGGAGGCTTTAGGAAAGGTAGGGGTGTGTGTGGTGTAGGAGGTAGGATACTGAAAGCAGTGAAGAGTTTTTACAAGGATAGTGAGGCTCAAGTTAGAGTATGTAGGAAAGAGGGAGATTATTTCCCAGTAAAAGTAGGCCTTAGACAAGGATGTGTGATGTCACTGTGGTTGTTTAATATATTTATAGATGGGGTTGTAAGAGAAGTAAATGCGAGGGTCTTGGCAAGAGGCGTTGAGTTAAAAGATAAAGAATCACACATAAAGTGGGAGTTGTCACAGTTGCTCTTTGCTGATGACACTGTGCTCTTGGGAGATTCTGAAGAGAAGTTGCAGAGGTTGCTGGATGAATTGGTAGGGTATGCAAAAGAAGAAAATTAAAGTGAATACAGGAAAGAGTAAGGTTATGAGGATAACAAAAGATTAGGTGATGAAAGATTGGATATGAGATTGGAGGGAGAGAGTATGGAGGAGGTGAATGTATTCAGATATTTGGGAGTGGACGTGTCAGCGGATGGGTCTATGAAAGATGAGGTGAATCATAGAATTGATGAGGGGGAAAAGGGTGAGCGGTGCACTTAGGAGTCTGTGGAGACAAAGAACTTTGTCCTTGGAGGCAAAGAGGGGAATGTATGAGAGTATAGTTTTACCAACGCTCTTATATGGGTGTGAAGCATGGGTGATGAATGTTGCAGCGAGGAGAAGGCTGGAGGCAGTGGAGATGTCATGTCTGAGGGCAATGTGTGGTGTGAATATAATGCAGAGAATTCGTAGTTTGGAAGTTAGGAGGAGGTGCGGGATTACCAAAACTGTTGTCCAGAGGGCTGAGGAGGGGTTGTTGAGGTGGTTTGGACATATAGAGAGAATGGAGAGAAACAGAATGACTTCAAGAGTGTATCAGTCTGTAGTAGAAAGAAGGCGGGGTAGGGGTCAGCCTAGGAAAGGTTGGAGGGAGGGAGTAAAGGAGGTTTTGTGTGCGAGGGGCTTGGACTTCCAGCAGGCATGCGTGAGCATGTTTGATAGGAGTGAATGGAGACAAATGCTTTTTAATACATGACGTGCTGTTGGAGTGTGAGCAAAGTAACATTTATGAAGGGATTCAGGGAAACCGGCAGGCCAGACTTGAGTCCTGGAGATGGGAAGTACAGTGCCTGCACTCTGAAGGAGGGGTGTTAATGTTGCAGTTTAAAAACTGTAGTGTAAAGCACCCTTCTGGCAAGACAGTGATGGAGTGAATGATGGTGAAAGTTTTTCATTTTTCGGGCCACCCTGCCTTGGTGGGAATCGGCCAGTGTGTTAATAAAACTAATAAAACCACATTTATTACATGTAAATTTTGCAGAGTGCTTTTTATTAGTTCTTAATATAGTATACTAGGGATAAAATGGACTAATAAGAAGTGAGGGATGTCTGCTTTAGTGAAAACCTGTTATATTGAAAGTTTTAATTAAGCAGATGTAGTCTGCTTAATTGATCAACTACACAGGGAAATGCCCAATAAAACAGACTTAGTCTGCTGTTAAGATGATACAACCAGTCATACAAAGAAAAGCTAATAAAAGCATGCTTTTATATCTCTATTTCTCCCCCTCCTCCCCTCTTTTTTCACTGCCCCCTCCCTCTTTCTTAATGGAAATAATTTTTAGTCACAATTAGTCATATTATTATATAGGTCATATTTTGATGTGTCACATCATTTTTAAGGTATTATTACTATTCCTAGGTAGTAGGTTGGTAGACAGCAACTTCCCCCGGAGGTACTACCATCCTACCAAGTGAGTGTGAAACAAGAACCTATAATTGTTTTACATGATAGGACTGCTGACATCTGTTTTCCGTCTCATAAGCATGTAAGATTTCAGGTACGTACGTCTTGCTACTTCTACTTACACTTAGGTCACACTGCACATGCATAAACAAGCATATATATACACATTACCCTTAGGATTTTCTGTTATTTCCTTACTAGTTCTTCTTTCTTGTTTATTTCCCCTTATCTCCATGGGGAAGTAGAACAGAATTCTTCCTCCATAAGCCATGCGTGTCGTAAGAGGCGACTAAAATGCCGGGAGCATGGGGCTAGTAACTCCTTCTCTTGTATATATTACTAAATTTAAAAGGAGAGACATTTTTCCTCTTGGGCCACCCTGCCTCAGTGGGATACGGCTGGTTTGTTGAAAGAAGAAGAATTATTACTATTGTTATTATTGGGTTATTCTAGATTAAATCTCTGCATATACAGAGATGTTTTAAGGGAAAGGAATTTCCCAGAGGGTGAGTTACACTTCCAAATTTCATGTATTGTGCAGCAATGAATTATTGTTATAGACATCTGACTGCAGGACAATAATTAAAACTGTCATCAGCCTAGACTATAATATCAAAAACACTAATACACATGAAAATTGTAATTATGTTAATAAACTGGAGATATAACACTTCTTGTAAACAGTCATTCTGTCTCTTGGCAACATAATTTCCAGTGGGATACACAAAATTTGTCTCTACCATCACCCATGGCTTGTTTCATCCACCCACTATCACCCACCACCATCCAGCACCGTCACCTACCCACTACAACCATCATTCCCTCACCATTCACCACCACACTCCTACCAGTGAGTGTTACATATATAATAGCTGATGAGCTATTTCTAAACAACTTGCTATAAAACTGTGAATAAATATACTCTAATATTTATTTTCTCCATTGCTTTTTCCTCCCACAAGGCGATGAGAGAATGCATGAAGACAATAACAAACTGAGGCAGGCTGGGCCAGCAGCCACTCTTATGGTGAAAATTGACAGTGCCTGGAAGAAGCCTGGACCAGACAAACTTGTAATTAAGTAGACTTGGTCCACTTTATTGATGGTACAACTGGACCAGACAGCTGTGCGAATAGAGGATTTGGTCATTTCATGGCTATTTTAATCAGACAATCCACGAAATGGACATGCTGATCCATTGTCTGGCAAGATTTTCTTTGTTTGCTTTAGCCAGTATCCATTTTATGGAGGTCCATTTTATCAAGAGTTTACTGTAATTGATTTTTCTTCGCAGACTCTTAAAGGAGGAATTAACTGGTATTTATCCGTAGGTCCCTCCTCAATAAGTGTGCTAATGAGTTGCTTTGCTGAGAGCTTGCGAGATACAACTATGTACTTATCTTCTTTAGTACCATAGCTGGCACACTTCAGCTTGTGCTGGTGTGCAATCCTGTAAGATAATAATATGCTGTTAGACTTACTGAAAATTTATGAACAATTAACAAATAAATTATATCTATATTCTTTGATATCTTGTAATCTCTGGAAACTGCCTTTTTTAGGCATTTAAAATAGTTTATTATTTCTTAAGACTTTTGAAAAACATTTTACAAAAAAAAGAAAAACTTTCATCATCATTCACTCCATCACTGTCTTGCCAGAGGCATGCTTACACTACAGTTATAAAACTGCAACATTAACACTCCTCCTTCAGAGTGCTGGCACTGTACTTCCCATCTCCAGGACTCAAGTCCGGCTTGCCGCTTTCCCTGAATCCCTTTATAAATGTTACCTTGCTTACACTCCAACAGCACATCAAGTCCTAAAAACCATTTGTCTCCATTTGCTCCTATCTAACATGCTCACGCATGCTTGCTGGAAGTCCAAGCCCCTCGCACACAAAACCTCCTTTACCCCCCCCTCCAACCTTTCCTAGGCCGACCCCTACCCCTATTCTATCATTTGCTCCTTTTGCACTCTCTTCACCTCTTTTACTCTCCACATACTCCATCCGTATATCACTTCTGCTCTGTAAAAATCTCTCATACACAACTTTTTTCTGTTTCATCACAACTTCACCTCGTCCCACCAATCACTCCTCTTTCCTCCTGCACCCCCCTCCTATAACTACAAACTTCTGCTCTGCATTCTAACACTGCATTTTAAAACTATCCCACCCCTCTTCAACCCCCCTACTACCTATACTTTCATAAGCCCACCTTTTTCCCAATAGTTACTTATATCTCACCCTAACTTCCTCCTCTCTTAGTTTATAATTTTCACTTCTCTCTTACTTGCTGTTGCCATTTTCTTTTTGCTCCATCTACCTCTTACTCTAACTGTAGTTACAACTAAATAATGATCTGATATATCTGTTGCCCCTGTATAAACATGTACATCTTTAACCCGTAAACGGTCCAAACGTATATATACGTTCACTACCGTACTGGCCCAACTTTTTTGAGAAAAAAAAAACATTGTTGTTTTTTAATAGGAAAAAAGAGCATATGGTACCCAGGCATCCCCAATTATTTTAATATGGCACACAGTGAGTGCTCACACCCATTCTCTCATGTCTAGGCAACTCAGGCTTATCGTGGCAATGTTAAATGTATGACACACAAAACGTATATATACGTTTGGGGCACTAGCGGTAAAAACGTATATATATGTTTGGACCATTTATGGGTTAAGCCTACCTATCAACCTTATATTCATCAATACATAATCTAACAAACTACTTTCATTACATGCTATATGATATCTTTTTCTTAAAATATTTATTACTTATTACCAAACCTCTTTCTATACATAATTCAGTTAAATGACCCCACTGTCATTTTCTCCTGGCACCCCAAATTTACCTACTACTCCCTCTACACTAGTTTTCCCCACTTCAACATTTAAGTCTCCCACCACAAGCATTCTCTTGCTTGGTTCAAAACTCCCCATGCACTCACTCAACATCTCCCAAAATCTCTCTCTCCTCTTTTTACATACCACCCTTATTTTACTCCACATAATCCTTGAATTTATACATTTATATTCCCTCTTTTATTGCCATAACTGATCCTTCAACATTATTACTACTCCTTCCTTAGCTCTAACTCTATTAGAAACCCCTGACCTAATCCCATTTACTTCTTCCCACAAACTCTCCTACCCCTTCAGCTTTGTTTCACTTAGACCCAGGACAACCAGCTTCTTTTCATTTATAACATCCACAATCATCTCTTTCTTGTCATCCACACCACATCCATGCATATTCAAACATCCCAACTTAAAGGGTTTCTTTTTATTTTTAGTAAGGTGTATGGGAAAAATGGGTTTCTAGCTCATTGCTCTCAGAATTTTAGCTGACTTTTACAACATGCAAGGCTTATGGAGGAAAAATTCTTATTCCACTTCCTCATGGATATAAAAGGAAAATACTAAGAACAAGAACTATTAAGAAAAAACAAAGATAACTCAGATGAGTGTGTATACAGAAGAATAGACAGAAGAAAAAAGACATCAACACTCCTACCATCATGTAAAACAAATACATACAGGTTTCTGTCTTACACTCATTTTGCAGGACAGTAGTACCTCCCTGGATGGTTACTGTCCAAGCTACTACAGGTCTGCCATCGCTAATCCGGCAATCAGTAATCCATTTCCGTCAGTAATCAGGCACTAATTTCAGCTAGCATACTTTAAAATTTCCTGGGCCACCACACCAACCTGCCAATTCTGTTGGATGGCACTACTTGCTGCATAAGTCATTCCAATCTCTTTTTTTCCATTTATTGTTATAACCTGCTCACTTTTAGTCCTAGCCATGGTTCCAACGAATAAAAGAAATACTACTTGTTGTGTAAAGCACATACAGTGGCGAATTAATTTTCCCCATAAGAAATAATGGAAATCATATTAATCTGTTCCTGACACCCCAAAGTATGAAAATTTTTTTTTTTTACCACATGAAATATTAATTTTAATACACATAAACTGAAGAAGACATGCAATTACTACTCTACTAAGAATAGAATACATGACACTTACCTTTATTGAAGATCTGGTGATGATTGGTGGGATGGGAGGAGGGGAGAGTGTGGAAGTTGTTATTGTTTAGAAGGGGAATCCCCTTCCATTAGGACTTGAGGTAACAAGTCCTTTTCCTGGGTTACTTCCCTTCTTCTTTTAATGCCACTAGGACCAGCTTGAGAGTCACTGGACCTCTGTTGCACAACAAATCTGTCCATAGAGCTCTGTACCTCCCGTTCCTTTAAGACTTTCCTAAAATGGGCCATAACATTGTCATTGTACAGGTTGCCAACACGGCTTGCAGTAGCTGTGTCAGGGTGATTTTCATCCGCAAAGGTTTGCAGTTCAACCCACTTTGCACACATTTTCTTAATCTTTGAAGTAGGCAACTTCCTCAATTTCTCTTTCCCCTCCTCTGAAGCAGTTTCCTCAGGTCTGGCCTCTTGCTGTTGAAGATGATCTTGCAGCTCATCAGTGGTTAGTTCTTCGTTGTCCTCCTCCACCAACTCTTCCACATCCTCCCCACTAACCTCCAACCCCAAGGACTTCCCCAATGCCACAATGGATTCCACAACTGGCATACGCTTCTCAGGGTTAGCCTCAAACCCTTCAAAATCCCTTTCTTCTACACATTCTGGCCACAGTTTCTTCCAAGCAGAGTTCAAGGTCCTCTTAGTCACTCCCTCCCAAGCCTTACCTATAAGGTTTACGCAACTGAGGATACTAAAGTGATCTTTCCAAAACTCTCTTAGAGTCAATTGAGTGTCTGAGGTCACTTCAAAACACTTTTGAAACATAGCTTTTGTGTAGAGTTTTTTGAAGTTTGAAATGACCTGCTGGTCCATGGGCTGCAGGAGAGGAGTGGTATTAGGAGGCAAAAACTTGACCTTAATGAAGCTCATGTCCCTAGAAAGTCGCTCTGCCAAGTCTGAAGGATGACCAGGAGCATTAATACCAGGAGGCACTTAAGGTCCAATTTCTATTCCATTAGGTAATTTTTCACATTGAGGGTAAATGAATGGTGTTACTAGTCATAGAAAAGGTCCCTAGTGACCCATGCCTTACTGTTTGCCTTTCACAGCACACACAAATTAGCTTTGAGGACATTGTTTTGCCTGAATGCTCTGGGAGTTTCAGAGTGATACACCAATAAAAGCTTCACTTTGCAATCACCACTAGCATTAGCACACATCAGAAGAGTAAGCCTGTCTTTCATAGGCTTATGTCCTGAGAGTGCCTTTTCCTCCTGAGTAATGTAGGTCCTGCTTGGCAGTTTCTTCCAAAACAGGCCTGTTTTGTCGCAATTAAACACTTGTTCAGGTTTCAATTCTTCACTGTCTATGTACTCCTTGAATTCCTTCACATATTTTTCAGCTGCTTTTTGGTCTGAGCTGGCAGCCTCATCATGCCTTATCACTCTATGTATGCCACTATGATTCTTAAATATCTCAAACCTACCTTTGCTGGCCTTAAATTCACTCACATCACCACTAGTTGCAGGCATTTTTCTAATTAAATCATCATGCAACTTCCTAGCCTTTTCACATATGATTGTTTGAGAGATGCTATCTCCTGCTATCTGTTTTTAGTTTATCCACACCAATAACAGTCTCTCAACATCTTCTATCACTTGCGATCTCTGTTTCAAAAACAAACTTGCACCTTTTGCAAGAACAGCTTCCTTGATTGCCATTTTGTTGACCAAGATAGTAGCGATGATTGATTGGGGTTTGGTATACAACCTGGCCAGCTCCGAGACACGCACTCCACTTTCGTACTTAGTAATTATCTCTTTCTTCATTTCCATGGTAATTTTCACCCCTTTTTACCACAGGGTTGGCACTAAAAGCTTTCTTGGGGCCCATGGTGACGTATTTTGCAGCTACAAGCACTAAAAACACTGTGATAATATGAAATGTACCGAATGTATGCTTAGATGCGACTGGATTGGCTGGCTTGTAAACACTGGCACCCACGGGGCAGCTGAGGCCATGCATGGGACGCGTCCCGGACGAATCATGTAAGGCGAGTTTTTTATTGTGAGGCAATGCAAAATTTTTGCGTTCAAATGCTTCGTATGGCGGATTTAACGTAAGGTGATGCGTTCGTAAGGCGGGGGTCCACTGTACACTATACATTGTCCATAAAAGATAAGGTGGGTTTAAATCCACTGTTGGTCGCCATGAGCTCAGCTCACTCAGATAACCTGTGGCCAGTAAAATTGGGCCTACATATGAGAGAATAGGTCTGCCTGGTAAATGTGCACTATACAGTGGACCCCTGAGTTTCGTGAGCCGTGCACTTTATCCGCCCTGGCTTGTAAACAATGGCACTAGCCGAGCTGAGGCGCTCTGGCCAGACGGACTGTGTTTGGGACGAATGATGTAAGTCGAGTTTTTCTTCGTAGGTTAGGGAAATTTTTTTTTGCTGAAATGCTTCGTAAGGCGATTTTATCGTTAGATGAGGCCTTTGTAAGTCGAGTGTCCACTGTACCTCCTGGAAAAGAAATTGCCACTCAAATGCCTCCTGGTAATGGACAATGCTCCTGCTCATCCTCCAGACTTGGATGACCAAATGGTGGAGGAGTTTAGTTTCATCACAGTGAAGTTCTTGCCCCCTAATACCACTCCTCTCATCAAGCCCATGGATGAGCAGATCATTTCAAACTTCAAAAAACTCTACACCAAAGCAATGTTTCAAAGGTGCTTTGATGTGACCTCAGACACTCAAATGACCCTAAGAGAGTTCTGGAAACATCACTTCAATATCCTCCATTGCATAGGCCTTATAGATAAGGCTTGGCAGTGAGCGACTTCCAGTACTTTGAACTCTGCTTGGAGAAAATTGTGGCCAGATTGTGTCCTCAACAAAGATTTTGAAAGGTTTGAGGCTGACCCTGAGAACCCTATGCCAGTTGTGCAATATATTGTGGTGTCGGGGAATTCCATGGGGTTGGATGTGAGTGGCCAGGATGTGGAAGAGTTGGTGGAGGACCACAGTCAAGAGCTAACCACTGAAGAGCTGCAAGACCTTCATCTGCAACAGCAACAGACCACAGCTCAGGAAATTGCTTCAGAGGAGGAGGAACAGAGATGGAAGAAGTGCCTTCTTAAAAGCTTAGGGACATTTGTTCAAAGTGGAGTGAGGTGTAAACGTTTATGGAGGAACATCACCCTGACAAAGCTGTTGCAAGCCGTGTTGGCAACATGTACAATGGCAATGTCTTGTCCCATTTGAGGCAAATTTTAATGAAATGCCAGAAACAGAGCTGTCTGGAACAAGTTTTTGTGCGACAGAGGTCCAGTGACCCTCAAGCTGGTCCTAGTGGCATTAAAAAACAAAGAAGGGAAGTAACCCTGGATAAGGACTTGGTACCTGAAGTCTTTATGGAAGTGGATTCCCCTTCCAAACTGTAGTGGTACTTCTCCATCCTCTCCCCTCCTCCTGTCTTCCATACACCAACAAAAGTCTTCAATAAAGGTGATATTATTGTTTATACTATGTTTAATCTAAAAAACAAATAATTTTTAATACTTTTGGGTGTCTAGAATGGATTAATTGGATTTACATTATTTCTTATGGGAAAAATGGTTTCAACATTTGTGAATTCTGACTTCCAGTATCTCTTGAAATTTGTGTAAAATTGGCCAAATTACTAATTTCTGACCACTTTATTGGTAGTTGATATAAGTAAATGGACAGTTTCTTGTACTCAGTTGACAGATTAGAAGGAATACTAGTGAAATAGCTATGAGTTTTGTTGACTGGAACAATGGAATGGGCCAAATATAGGGCACAAAGTGGGTGAAATCGCAGATGTGCATATATCGCCATTGGGTTAAGTGTATTCTAACCTAACCACTCTGTAATCCAGCAAAATCACTAATCCGGCACCCTACAGGTCCCGATGGTGCCATATTATTATTGATGGTCAGCCTGTCCTATTTAATATTTAATTATCAAATAAAAAATAAATATACAGTGGACCCCCGCATAACGATTACCTCCGAATGCGATCAATTATGTAAGTGTATTTATGTAAGTGCGTTTGTACGTGTATGTTTGGGGGTCTGAAATGGACTAATCTACTTCACAATATTCCTTATGGGAATAAATTCGGTCAGGACTGGCACCTGAACATACTTATGGAGTGAAAAAATATCGTTAACCGGGGGTCCACTGTACATGTACTGCATAATATAGGGAAAATAGTAAAAATATTTACTTAAGAATTTCATGACGCTGTTCATTTGAAAAACCTGGCGAGAAGGCTAGATCTTCAACCCTAGATTCTTGGCTGAAGTGCTGTATAATGCCATGCATACGACTTCGAAAATGAGGTGTAACACTGCTATCTTTTTGATGGCCAAGCCCTTGTCGACCACAAGCTCCAAGAGAACTGAAATAAAACACAGTTCTCATTACCAGGCAATTTATTTGGAAAGAATTATACCATCAACAGATAGTAGAACACTGACCTAATTGAAAGGATTAACTAATTATCATGATACATGTACTTACTACTAATACCACCACCACTGCCCAATACTGCCACTCTCACCATTACTACTACTACTGCTACTACTACAGTGGAACCTCAGTTTTTGTATGCCCCAGTTTGCACAGAATTCGGTTTTCGACGATGTTTTTCGTTTAAATTTTGTCCCAGTTTTCATACATCCACTTGGTTTTCATAGAGATGAAAATGGTCCATACCAAATGCGTCTGCATGACTAGGCCAATAATCCATTGTTTTTTGTGTTTGTTTATTGAGTGTGACTGCTAAATGAGCCACCATGGGGCCAAAGAAAGTTCTGAGTGCCAGCCCTTAGATATAGAAGACAAGAAACATGATAGAACTCATAGCAAAGTACGAAAGTGGCGTACATGTTTATATGCTATGTAACATGTTTCTTATTATAATTTTGAAGAAAATGTCATGGATTAATGAAAATGTCTATAGTAATATAAAATAAGACATTTAATATGCCCAAGAGTGATTATTATTAGTATTACTTAATGTTTTCCCTCTGCCCGGCAACCACACCTCCATAGCATATAAATATAGCATGTTTATATGCCAGGCGGAGGGAAAACATTATGTTTTCTCTGGTCCAGCACCAAAGTAAACGTGTACGAATCTGCATTTGCCCTAGTCACTCCCACTTTTATTTACATTTCTTGGCATAAATTATTCATTACTTCTCCCTTCGTCTATGATGGCATCTAAAGGTAGTTCTTAGAAACGATTAAATTCAGTGAACAAGGTATGTCAATGGTAATAATTTGGTTCTGGGCTGCAGTGTAGATAGCCAGTAGGTGTAGCCCAGGCGGGTTACACCTACCAGCTACCTACACTGACTTCCTACAAATAAATACTACTCACCTCTCATCCAACATTAAGACAAATTACAGTGGACCCTCGGCTAACGAAAGCATCCCAGAACGTTAAATCCGCCTAACGAAGCGTTTGAGCATAAAAATTTTGACCCGCCTAACAATAAAAAACTCGCCCAACGTGATTCATCCTGAGCCTGTCTGTCCAGCCTGAGCGCCTCAGCTGCCCTGCCGTCATTGTTTACAAGCCAGGGTGGCCGGTTTCATGCACATATTCGACACATTTTGTATTATTCCATTGTTTATAGTGTTTGTAACTGCTAAATAAGCCACCATGGGCCCAAAGAAAGCTTCTAGTGCCAACCCTGTGGTAAAAAGGGTGAGAAATACTATCGAAATACTATCGTACCACGGTCAGCTGCTGCTGCACCACTGTCAGCTGCTGTTGCACCACCGTCAGCTGTTGCTGCACCACCGTCAGCTGTACTACTCGAAGATGTGGAGAGACTGTTGTTGGTGTGGCTTAACGAGAAACAATTACCGAGAAACAATTAACCCCCAGAGGGTTAGCCATCAGGGATAACCCAAGAAAGTCAGTGAGTCATCGATAACTGTCTAACTTATTTCCATTGGGGTCCTTAATCTTGTCCCCCAGGATGCAACCCACACCAGTCGACTAACACCCAGGTCAACAGGAAAAAATGCCTGGAACTAGTGCTCATATTGGTGAATTTAAGGCCAGCAAAGGTTGGTTTGAGAGATTTAAGAAACGTAGTGGCATACACACTGTGATAAGGAATGGTGAAGCTGAAAAATTCCAACCTCAACAAGTGTTCAATTGTGATGAAACAGTCCTGTTCTGGAAGAAAATGCAAAACAGGACCTACATTACTCAGGAGAAAAAGGCACTCCCAGGACCCAAGCCTATGAAAGACAGGCTAACTTTCTTGTTTTGTTGTAATGCTAGTGGGGATTGCAAAGTGAAGCCTTTACTCATGAATCACTCTGAAAATCCCAGAGTGTTCAAGAAAAAGTGTCTCATCACTCATCAATACTCTTCAATAAAGGTAAGTGTCATTTTAACATTTATTTATATAGTAGTTGTGCATGTCTCATTGTTTTCTTTGTAGGGAAATGTATATTTCATGAAAAAAAGAAATTATTTTTTTAGTACTTTTGGCTGTCTGGAACAGATTAACTGGATTTCCATTACACCTACCATCCGACTTACGAACGAGCTTGGTTCCGACCAACCGGCCGTAAGTCAAAATGGACCTAAGTCAAACTTTACTACTGAATATCAACATCACATTTTTGTAATTATTTTTTTTTTATTATCACACTGGCCGATTCCCACCAAGGCAGGGTGGCCCGAAAAAGAATAACTTTCACCATCATTCACTCCATCACTGTCTTGCCAGAAGGGTGCTTTACACTACAGTTTTTAAACTGCAACATTAACACCCCTCCTTCAGAGTGCAGGCACTGTACTTCCCATCTCCAGGACTCAAGTCCGGCCTGCCGGTTTCCCTGAACCCCTTCATAAATGTTACTTTGCTCTCACTCCAACAGCACGTCAAGTATTAACCCTTTCAGGGTCCGTCCCGTAGATCTACGGCTTTACGTTCAGGGTCCAAACCGTAGATCTACGCCATGAGCTCAGCTCACTCTGATAAACTGTGAGTGGTACATTTGGCCTAGATATGAGAGAATACATCTATGTGTATGTGTGCACCACATAAAACAGATCCTGCAGCACACTGTGTATAATGAGAGAAAAAAATGAAATCATGATTTATTTCGATTAAAACAGCAACTTTGCAGTGTTTTTTCGTATGTTTTTTATAGTTGTATTTGCGATTTCTTGGTCTCATTTGATAGAATGGAAGACATATTACAGAAATAGAGATGATTTTGATTGGTTTTAGTATTGGAAATGGCTTGAAACTGAGCTCAAAGTAGCAGAAATGTTAAATTTTTGCCGATATTCAAGAGTAAACAAACGACCTCACACATCTAATACACGTCAGCTGGTGGGTCTAATATACATTCACAAATATGGTGATTTTAGGTAGTAGGATGGTAGACAGCAACCGCCCAGGGAGGTACTACCGTCCTGCCAAGTGAGTGTAAAACGAAAGCCTGTAATTGTTTTACATGATGGTAGGATTGCTGGTGTCTTTTGTCTGTCTCATAAATATGCAAGATTACAGGTAAGTCTTACTACTTCTACTTACACTTAGGTCACACTACACATACATGTACAAGCATATATATACACACCCCTCTGGGTTTTCTTCTATTTTCTTTCTAATTCTTGTTCTTGTTTATTTCCTCTTATCTCCATGGGGAAGTGGAACAGAATTCTTCCTCTGTAAGCCATGCGTGTCGTAAGAGGCGACTAAAATGCCGGGAGCAAGGGGCTAGTAACCCCTTCTCCTGTATATATTACTAAATTTAAAAGGAGAAACTTCAGTTTTTTCTTTTGGGCCACCCCACCTCGGTGGGATACGGCTGGTACGTTGAAAGAAGAAGAAGAAAATATGGTGATGATATTTATACAATTATTACAGTATTGCATAAGAGTAAATCTTCTATTTTTTGGTGTAGGAATGCCTACATTGTTCATTCTGGACCCTATTTTGAAATTGGAATATTTTGAACTTTGTGTTAAATTGGCCAAATTAACAATTTCCGATCACTTTATTTTGTAGTTGAAACAGTTGACTTGGCGATTTCTTGTGCTCAATCGATAGAATAGAAGTAATACTAGTGAAATAGCTAAGAATTTGGTTGATTGGAATAATGTAATTGGCCTAAAATGGGAGTCAAAGTCGGCAAAATCGCCGATTCGTAAATATCGCTGACACATCAAAATTCGCGAGAGCATAATTTCGTCAATTTTCCACCAAATTTCGTACTTTTTGTTTTATTACCTTCACAAAAAGATTCTCTACGATTTCATAAGAAAAAATAACAAATTTTTTTTTTGAAAATTCTTGGACACTGGTGCGTGACTCCAGATTTGGGCCTTGGACCCTGAAAGGGTTAAAAACCATTCATCTCCATTCACTCCTATCAAACACGCTCACGTACGCCTGCTGGAAGTCCAAGCCCCTCGCACACAAAACCTCCTTTACCCCCTCCCTCCAACCTTTCCTAGGCCTGACTTTATTTTATTGTTTTATTTTATTTCATTTTTTACTTTACTTTTTATGCTGTTAGTACTGTATTTTATACTGTAAGGTTTAGGATAAACACTGTGTACAACACAAACAGGTGTTTATTTCCCAGAAATTTGGCATAAAAAGCATGGTCGTAAGTCAAGTGGTCATATGTCGAGCAGGTCGTAAGTTGGACGGTAGGTGTATTTCTTATGGGGAAAATTAATTTGGCTAACAATAATTCCATCTAACGATGAGCTTTCAGGAACAGATTAATATCGTTAGCCGAGGGTCCACTGAAATTGGATTTACATTACTTCTTATAGAAAATATTGCTTCAGTTTTCGCAGGAAACAGTTTTTGTCAGACTTTTTCAAATCGAAAACCAAGGTTGTGGCGGTGGCAGCGGTGGCAGTGGTGGCAGCGGCGGCAGCGGCAGCAGCGGCGGCAGCGGCGGTAGCGGCAGTAGCGGCGGTAGCGGCGGTAGCAGCAGCAGCAGTAGTAGCAGCAGTAGTAGCAGCAGCAGTAGCAGCAGCAGCAGCAGCAGCAGCAGCAGCAGCAGTAGTAGCAGCAGCAGTAGCAGCAGTAGCAGCAGTAGCAGTAGTAGTAGCAGTAGTAGCAGTAATAGCAGTAGTAGTAGTAGTAGTAGTAGCAGTAGTAGTAGTAGTAGTAGTATTATAAACACATATGCAGTATAATGTGATCCTTTATTGACAACGTTTCGCCCACACAGTGGGTTTTTTCAAGTCACAAACAGATCTACCTGGGGTGGAAGGTATGCGAGTATTTATAGTCAGGTTCAGAATGCTGAGGTCAGGTGGAGAATGCTGCATCTGAAGATGTACCGAGTGGGGTTATAGAGTCTAAAATCTTGGGTAGCTTGGAAGGGAGATTGGATAAATTTGTGAGCAGACCTTCTGCAGTGTTCTTCCATTCCTATGCTCTTATGTGGGATAGCGATGAAGAAGTTTCTTCGCAACTTCAACCAGAATAATGGCTTCTATAACATAGCTGAACCACTTGCGAAGAAATTTCTTCATCGCTATCCCACATAAGAGCATAGGAATGGAAGAACACTGCAGAAGGTCTGCTCACAAATTTATCCAATCTCCCTTCCAAGCTACCCAAGATTTTAGACTCTATAACCCCACTCGGTACATCATCAGATGCAGCATTCTCCACCTGACCTCAGCATTCCGAACCTGACTATAAATACTCGCGTACCTTCCACCCCAGGTAGATCTGTTTGTGACTTGAAAAAGCCCACTGTGTGGGCAAAACTTTGTCAATAAAGGATCACATTATACTGCATGTGTGTTTATATTTCCATTGTGTCGGTATTTTATACCATTTATCTCCATACAGTACTAGTAGTAGTACTAGTACTAGTACTACTACTACTACTACGAATGAAACTTAAAATTTTACCCGTTAAACCCACGAATCTCAGAGCATCTCTATTAATTTTAGTTCACTTAGCCCACTTTAGTTTTCAGTTTTGAATTGAATTTTTATTTCCTTTGCAGTCCTGAGAACTGACTCAACAACAAGAATATATGAATGAAGGAATACTAAAGTAGACTTATTGGCCCATGTTAGGCAAGTCCAACTTACATACACTCAAGTATCTGTCCAACCTATACTTAAAGCTATCCAAAGTTCTTGTCCCAATGACACTACCTGGGAGTTTGTTCCACTAATCTATAAATATTACTAAACCAATACTTTCCTAATTTTTTTTTATTAACACATCGGCCGATTCCCACCAAGGCAGGGTGGCCCGAAAAAGAAAAAATTTCATCATCATTTACTCCATCACTGTCTTGCCAGAGGCGTGCTTACACTACAATTATAAAACTGCAACATTAACACCTATATTTCCTATACGTATTCTTTCTAATTTAAATGTCTCCAATTTGAATCCACTGCTGCAAGTCCTGTCTTGGTTAGATATTGTCAACAAGTTATTTCTTCTTCTTTCAATAAACTGGTGGTATACCACCGAGGCAGGGTGACCCAAAAAGAAAAACGAAAGTGTCTCTTTTTAAATTTAGTAATACATACAGGAGGAGGAGTACTAGCTCTTTGCTACCGGCACTTTAGTCGCTTCTTATGATAAGCATGGCTTACGGAGGAAGAATTCTGTTCCACTTCCCCATGGAGGTAAGCGGAAATAAACAAGAACTAATGAGAAAATAGAAAAAAAGCCTGAGGGGTGTGTGTACATACATATATGCTTGTACATGCATGTGTAGTGTGAGCTAAGTGTAAATAGAAGTAGCAAGATGCATCTGAAACCTTGCATGTCTTGCGATAGAAAAAAGACACCAGCAATCGTACCATCATGTAAAAACAAGATATTTATATCTTCTTTATTTATTCCTGTTTTTCATTTGTAACTTCAATCATATTTCCCTAATTCTATGCCTATCTTTGAAGGAAAGGTTTCTAGAATAAACTCTGTCATTCTTCTTTGCACATTTTCCAACACAGTTGTGTCAATTTTGTAATACAAAAACCAGAACTAAGCAGCATAATCTAAATGAGGCTCAACCAAAGATATGTAAAGTCGAAGTATAACCTCAGAACTTTCACAGAACAAGTGTTTTATGGGTTATTACTAGGACTGTCTCAATGTTGGGAGGGCCCAAACCATGACCAAGCATTCTTGGTCATGGTTTATCAACTAAGAAAAATGTTGAAATTTTTTTGTATTACTATGTTGTAAGAGGCAACTAAAATGTCGGGAGAAAGGGGCTAGTAACCCCTTCTCCTGTACATATTACTAAATTTAAAAGGAGAAACTTTCGGTTTTTCTTTTGGGCCACCTCACCTCAGTGGGATATGGCCAGTTTGTTGAAAGGAGGAGGATTCAAAATGGATGGCAAGTGTTATATAGGAGACCTGGGAATGTGGTTAATAAACAGAGGGAATGTTGCTTTTAGTGACTGGAAGTGTTTGCTTTTGGCTTTTGTTTTTAAATCAGAATTTATTGAAAATAGTGTAAAATTGGCCAAATTATCAATTTCTAGGTGTGTTTTATAGGGCTTTTCTGATAGCTGAATGAGCGTTTTTTGTGAAAGCCATACTAGTGAATCAGATTGGTTTGAGCACTGAAATTGAATTAAAATAAGCCTCAGTGTGGGCAAAATTGGTTGCAAAAAGTGCTCCCCAATCTCCATTATTATGATTATAATCAAGGGGAAGCGCTAAACCCATACGATTATGCAGCGCCTGTGGGGGTAATGTGGAAGGTATTCAGGCTTAATTCAGGGAACCGGAGCATAGATCCAATTCCCTAGATCAAGAGCCCCTCACCAACATCAAGGAACCTTCCTTGAGAGGCCCAACCTCCAGCTTTGCACCTGCATAATTATGTATTAGAAAAAATTTAGTATTTTTGGTGTTATCCCCTTCAGAAGAAGATTTTCTACCATTTCAAAAGACAAAATTATTGTTCTATTTTTTCAAAAAACACAACACTAAAGGGCTTTCAATTTTGAGGATGTCAATAGTGAAAGGGTTAAGAAAAGGATGAAAGTGTTCCATGCCAATTCTTACTGTTGCTGGGCAAGATACTCAATAACGATCAGCGACAAATCCCATGTTATCTGAGGTTAAGCCTAATCTAACTTAACTTTTGACCCTATTTACGACAAAGAACTCATAACCCACCTGATAGGCTCAGTAATTCCTGAGCCTTCTTTGCCAAGCCCTCCTCCTGTCCAGCCCATCATCTTCAGCAGTTTGCTTCCCAATGAGTTATCATCAACAGGTTTATCTAAGGAGACATTTAGGCTCTGCACCCCTGTGTCCTGTGTTGTGCCACTTGTAGCATACTCTACTGACACTTCTTCTTCAGATGCATGAATTTTTAAAACCTGTGAACAAGTGATATGCTAGTATACTACAAGGAGGAACATAATAATTAGACTGTTACTGTAAGGGGGTGACCACTGATCTGAAAGTCCACTGAATTGAAATTATGAAATTGATTATGAATGTAATAAAGAGGATAAATGGCCAATGCAACAGCCTTGGTCTGTTTAATGGTAAACCCACTGGACACTTATAGGACCATACCAGATAAATGCCCAGTGCAGTGAACTTGATCTGTTGAATGGGGAGCCTACTGGACACACTATGGTACTGCTAAGAGACAAAGGCCCCATACAGTCGACTTAGCTGTATCAAGTCTTTGACCAAATATTTTGTTCAGTTAGATGAGGTTTGTAAGGAAATCTGACCAGCCAGGCTGTGGTTCATTTGTCAGGTTGCATGCAGCCAACAGTAACAGCCTCGTTCATCAGGCCTTGATCCACCACGAGGCCTGGTCGCAGACCGGGCCGTGGGGGCATTGACCCCCAGAACCCTCTCCAGGTAAACAGGACAAGTGTTTCCTGACATGGGTCTTAGCCAAGACCAGCCGCTGGAACTTTTGGTCATCTGACCAATGCACCTAAAATTTGCTACATAGCATTCTGTTAAATAGTGTTTACTGTGCTATATTATACATAAACTTTCAAGCATAATGAACAATAGTCAACAGCACAAACTCTCATGTAATTAATAGAACATAACATTAGCACTGAATATTTTGATCTACCACTGCTGAAGAAGATTTAGTGACAGACTGAAATACACATAACTTGCTTTACCTTGTTTAATTGCCTCCAAGTGGTTTTGTTTGTGACAAATTGAATTTTTAACAAACTTGGTCTTCAATTTAGGCCAAAATTTACCACTCACAACTTATTTGACTAAACTGAGCTCACGACACAGACCTACACGAGGGACCCTGGAATCAGTGCCATAGTTCTATGTGACGGCCATTGACAGGGTTAAATAGTTCATCTATCTTGTTTCTAAGCATGGTTTCCAGTTTGGTGAGTATTTGGAGGAATGACTGACTATATTTAGAAGATAACTTTATTTTTCCCATATGTTCTTCCCTTTACATAAAGGTACTTTTCATAAAGCACTGATTTTCATGAACATAACCTAACATTATAAGAGGATTTACTGTATTACAGTGGACCCTCAGTTAACGATGTCATCGGATAATATAAAAATCGGATAACAACACGTTTTTGCATCAAAATATTGGCTCAATTAACGACAAAGAACTTGGTTAAAGTCATTCATCCTGAACGTGTCCGTATGGCCTGAGCGGCCCTGCCACTCCATGTACAGCCAGTGTGCCATTGTTTACAAGCCAGTGAGGACAATTCCATGCGTACATGCGATACATTTTGTATTATTCCATTGTTTTTAGTGTTTGTAACTGCTAAATAAGCCACCATGGGCCCAAAGAAAGCTTCTAGTGCCAGCCCTGTGGTAAGAAATACTATTAAATTCAAGAAAGACATCATTGCAAAATACAGAAGTGGAGTGCATGTCTCCGAGCTGGCCAGGTTGTATAACAAACCCAATACAACCATTGCTACTATCTTGGCCAACAAAAAGGCAATCAAGGAAGCTGTTGTTCCAAAAGGTGCAAATGTGCTTACAAAACAGAGATCACAAATACTCGGAGACTGTTGTTGGTGTGGATCACAGAGAAACAATTATCAGGAGATAGTGTTTCACAGTCAATTATATGTAAAAAGGCAAGGCAGTTGCGTGATGATCTAATTAAGAAAATGCCTGGAACTAGTGCTCATATTGGTGAATTTAAGGCCAGTAAAGGTTGGTTTGAGAAATTTAAGAATAGTAGTGGCATACACAGTGTGATAAGGCATGGTGAGGCTGCCAGTTCTGACAAAAAAGCAGCTGAAAAATATGTGCAGGACTTTAAGGGGTACATAGAGGCTGAACAATTAAAACCCCAACAAGTGTTCAATTGTGACAAAACAGGCCTGTTTTGGAAGAAAATGTTAAACAGGACCTACATTACTCAGGAGGAAAAGGCACTCCCAGGACACAAGCCTATGAAAGACAGCCTAACTCTCATGTTTTGTGGTAATGCTAGTGGGGATTGCAAAGTGAAGCCTTTACTCGTGTATTACTCTGAAACTCCCAGAGTGCTCAAGAAAAACAGTGTCATCAAGCCTAAATTGTGTGTGATGTGGAAGGCAGTAAGGCATGGGCCACTAGAGACATTTTCCTCGATTGGTTCTATGACGTGTTTGGCCCCAGTGTGAAAAAATACCTCCTGAAAAATAAATTGCCACTCCAGTGACTCCTGTTAATGGACAATGCTCCTGCTCATCCTCGAGACTTGGAAGAGCAAATTGTGGGGGAGTTTAGTTTCATCAACGTTATATTTTTGCCCCCTAACACCACTCCTCTCCTCTAGCCCATGGACCAGCAGGTCATTTCAAATTTCAAAAAACTGTACACCAAAGCAGTGTTTCAAAAGTGCTTTGAAGTGACCTCAGACACTGAATTGACCCTAAGAGAGTTCTGGAAAGATCACTTCAGTATCCTCAGTTGCATAAACCTTATAGGTAAGGCTTGGGAGGGAGTGACTTGCAGGACTTTGAACTCTGCTTGGAGAAAACTGTGGCCAGAATGTGTACAAATGAGGGATTTTGAAGGGTTTGGGGCTAACCCTGAGGAGCCTCTGCCAGTTGTGGAATCTATTATGGCATTGGGGAAGTCCATGGGGTTGGAGGTTAGTGGTGAGGATGTGGAAGAGTTGGTGGAGGATGACGATGAAGAGCTAACCACTACAGAGCTCCAAGAGCTTGAGGTGCAACAGCAACAGACCACAGCTCAGGAATTTCCTTCAGAGGAGGGGGAAGAGAGATGGAGGAAGTTGCCTTCTTCAACGATTAAGGACATTTGTACAATGTGGACAAAGGTGCAAGCATTTATGGATGAATATCACCCTAACACAGCTGTTGCAAGCCGTGCTGGCAATATCTACAATGACAATGTTGTGTCCCATTTTAGGGAAATCTTTAAGACACGTCAGAAACAGAGATCTCTGGACAGATTTTTGGTGCGACAGGGGTCCAGTAACTCTCAAGCTGGTCCTAGTGGCATTAAAAAACAAAGAAGGGCGGTAACCCCGGAAAAGGAATTCGTACCTAAAGTCCTTATGGAAGGAGATTCCCCTTCCAAACAATTGTAAACTCCTCCATCCTCTGCCCTCCTCCCATCTCATCACTCATCAAATACATCTTCAATAATGGTAAGTGTCATTTTATTAATTATTAATGTATTTGTTCTGCATGTCTCATTGTTTTCTGTATAGAGAAATGTATATTTCATGTAAAAAAAATATTTTGTTTAATACTTTTGGGTGTCTGGAACGGATTAATTGGACGGATAACGACAGAATCAGTTAAAGACAAGCTCTCTGGAACGGATTAATGTCGTTAACTGAGGGTCCACTGTACTTAACTCAGTGTACAGTGTACGTCAGCTTGTAATCTTGGCTTATATGCCAATTACTATTTTACCATGAAAACAAAGTACAGTGGAACCCTGAGTTTTGGCCGTAATCTGTTCCAGGAGCTAGGCTTAAACTCGAAACAGCCGAAAGTCGAAGCAATGTTTCCCATAAGAAATAATGTAAATACAGTACAATTAATCCATTCCAGACCCACAAAAATATTCACAAAAAAATACATTTTTTAAAGAATAACTATAGTTTAATACAGTGGACCCCCGCATAGCGATATTAATCCGTGCAAGAGAGCTCATTGTTATGCGAAATTATCGTTATGCGAATGAATTTTCCCCATAAGAAATAATGGAAATCAAATTAATCCGTGCAAGACACCCAAAAGTATGAAAAAAAAATTTTACCACATGAAATATACATTTTCCTACACACAAAGAGAAGGATACATGCACAATAGTAGAGTAGTACATGCACAATATATATTGTGCATGTACTACTCTACTAAATGAAGAATAAATGACACTTACCTTTATTGAAGATGCAGCAATGACTGATGAGATAGTGTGTCCTGGGAGTGCCTTTTCCTCCTGAGTACTGTAGGTCCTGTTTGGCATTTTCTTCCAGAACATGCCTTATCACACTGTGTATGCCACTACGATTCTTAAATCTCTTAAACCAACCTTTGCTGGCTTTAAATTCACCAATATGAGCACTAATTCCAGGCATTTTTCCCTGTTTACCTGGGTGTTAGTTGACTGGTGTGGGTTGCATCCTGGGAGACAAGATTAAGGACCCCAATGGAAATAAGTTAGACAGTCTTCGATGACACTGACTTTTTTGGGTTATCCTGGGTGGCAAATCCTCTGGGGTTAATTGTTTCTTGGTATTCTCAATAAACCACACCAACAACGGTGCTACAGCAGCAGCAGCAGCAGCTGACAGTGCTACAGCAGCAGCAGACGATGCTACAGCAGCAGCAGACGGTACTACAGCAGCAGCAGACGGTACTACAGCAGCAGCAGCAGCAGCTGACGGTGGTACAACAGCAGCAGAAGCTGACAGTGCTACAGCAGCAGCAGACGATGCTACAGCAGCAGCAGACGGTACTACAGCAGCAGCAACGTAGTACAGCAGCAGCACAGCAGCAGACGGTACTACAGCAGCAGCAGCAGCAGCTGACGGTGGTACAACAGCAGCAGCAGCTGACGGTGGTACAACAGCAGCAGCAGCTGACGGTGGTACAGCAGCAGCACCAGCTGACAGTGCAGCAGCAGCAGCAGCAGCAGCAGACGGTACTACAGCAGCAGCAGCAGCTGACGGTGCTACAGCAGCAGCAGCAGCTGACAGTGCAGCAGCAGCAGCAGCTGACAGTGGTACAGCAGCAGCAGCAGCTGTACCACCAATAGTAGCGATGGTTGATTGGGGTTTATTATACAACCTGGCCAGCTCGGAGACACGCACTCCACTTTCATACTTATCAATGATCTTTTTCTTCATCTCTATAGTAATTCTCACCCTTATTGCTGTAGGGTTGGCACTAGAAGCTTTCTTGGGGCCCATGGTCACTTATTTTGCAGATAAAATCACCAAAAACACTGTAATAATACGAAATGTTCCGATTGTATGCTTGGATGTTACCACGGAGGCTGGCTGGTAAACAATGCCACCGGCGGAACATGTGAGGGTGGCTCAGGCCGCACATAGACGCGTCTCAGACGAATAACATTGAGCGGGTTTTTTAGCGGTATGCGAGGCAAAATCTTGGCGATAAAATGTAGCGGTATGCGGATTTAACGTTATGTAAGGCCAACGGTATGCGGGGGTCCACTGTATACATATAGTACTTAAAACATACATATAGTATTAAATGAGTAATACAATACATAAATAAACATTTACATAAACATTTAAAATCACATTTACTTACCTTTATTGAAGACTCTTGTTGGCATCTGGAAGATAGGGAGGAGGAGAGAGGGAGAACTTATTATTGCCTCAACCACTGCCTCACTGCCACTATGAAGTTTCTTTGGGCCCATGGTGGCTTATTTCACAGTCACAATCAATAAACAAGCACTAAACACAATGAATTTATTGTGAAATGTTCGGATGAGCATGCAGGGTAATGTTCACTTAAGGATAAAGAAAGCCAGACTGGCTCACGACGCCTGCGCAGGGAAGTGTGCAGGCGTGGGCAGGCAGACAGGTCTGGTATGCTGGCCAAAACATGGGGCAACAGCCGAAACTAGGGACAAAATTTAGCTGAAAAAAGAGGTCAAAACTCAAAGCGGCCGATACTCAGGGCAGCCAATACTCAGGGCGGCTGATACTCAGGGTGGCCGAAACTCTGGGTTCCACTGTACAATATACATTTATTGCTAACAAAATTTTAAAACATAACACAAGTAGAATAACATTATAGGCCATAAAACAAAGCAAAGATACATTAAAGTGCTACATTAGTTTTAATGCAAACTTAAAAATCTGTATATCACATTCATTCACAAAAGGGTAGTGTAAATACAGCAGAAAGTTTAAAAAAAAATTTAATTATAGGGCAGTTCACTTCGTTTGATCGACACAAACTGAAAAGCCATACATGCACAGGTGCTCCTCGACTTATGACGATTAGACTTATGATATTTTGACTTTACAATGGTGCAAAAGCAATTACTTTGGAGTTAAAACTCGAGATAATTACCCAGCATAAAGGCAGCAAGTCCGTAACTTGTATTCATTTAGTTACTTTTCAATACAGGTATATAGTTAGTTACAGTAATTATTTTTTATATACTTATTAAGTGACAGTAGTTATTTACTTACTAATTTATTTAGCATATCAAAGTCATTTTCCATGCTGAAGTGGAACAGAATTCTTCCTCCGTAAGTCATGCGTGTCATAAGAAGCGACTAAAATGCCAGGAGCAAGAGGCTAGTAACCCCTTCTCCTGTATATATTACTAAATTTAAAAAGAGAAACTTTCATTTTTCATTTTAGGTCACCCTGCCTTGGTGGGATATGGCTGGTTCATTGAAAAAAAAAAATCATATTTATATTTGATTTAAGATATTTTTGACTTAGGGTGGGTTTGTCAGAATGTAACCCCATCATAAGTCGAGAAGAACCTGTATACTCATCTGGTACAGTACCTTAAGTGTGTAACAACGATGAGAAAGAAACTCCAAAGCTTTGACTGCAGCTGCTTCCCTGGCAGCTTTCTTATTGTCTCCTTGAGCTGTGGCAACATTTACTCCATTGACAACCACAGTACAAGCTCTGTATAAAAACAAAACATGACTGTAGCACTGTTTAAAGTTTAGGAACAAAGAAGATTGAGCCTCTAATGCTTCTTGTGCTGAATGACCACATGGGTTTAGTGCAGTACATAATATAATAATCACTGCATATATGTATTTCAGTTGCTGTATGCTCAGAGAAAGGTATCCTAATGTTCCACAAGCCCAGTCTTCTTTATCTCAATGAATGCAAAAGAAACAGTGGAGGGTGTTCATAAAATTAGAATGCAGAAAAATATAAAAATATGTATACATATGTGTATGTTTGTGCTTGCATGTCTTTCTGTACTTTTTTTTAAACGCACCGGCCGTCTCTCACCAAGGCAGGGTGACCCAAAAAAGAAACACTTTCACCATCATCATATATAATCATTGTCTTTGCAGAGGTGCCCAGATATGACAGTGTAGATATACCTGGAGTTTACCTGGAGAGAGTTCCGGGGGTCAACACCCCCATGGCCTGGTCTGTGACAGGGCCGCCTGGTGGATCAGAGCCTGATCAACCAGGCTGTTACTGCTGGCTGCACGCAATCCAACGTACGAGCCACAGCCCGGCTGGTCAGGTACCGACTTTAGGTGCTTGTCCAGTGCCAGCTTGAAGACTGCCAGGGGTCTGTTGGTAATCCCCCTTATGTATGCTGGGAGGCAGTTGAACAGTCTCGGGCCCTTGACATTGTTGTATTGTCTCTTAACGTGCTAGTGACACCCCTGCTTTTCTTTGGGGGGATGTTGCATCATCTGCCGAGTCTTTTGCTTTCATTGTGAGTGATTTTCGTGTGCAAGTTCGGTACTAGTTCCTCTAGGATTTTCCAGGTGTATATAATCATGTATCATATATCACATATCATATCATATATCACTCCAAACAGCCAATATCCTAAACTCCTCCTTTAAAGTGCAGGCATTGTACTTCCCACCTCCAGAACTCAAGTCCAACCAACCAGTTTCTTTGAATCCCTTCACAAAATATTACCCTGCTCACACTCCAACAGCTCATCAGGTCCCAAAAACCATTTGTCTTCATTCACTCCTAAATAACACATTCACACATGCCTGCTGAATGTCCAGGCCCATTGCACACAAAATCTATTTTACCCCCCTCCCTCCATTCTTTCCTAGGAGGACCCCTACCCCTCCTCCCCTCCATTACAGATGTATATGCCCTCCAAGTCATCCTATTTTGCTCCATCTGCTCCAAATGGCCAAACCATCTCAACAACCCCTCTTCAGCCTTCTGTATGTATGTGCACTTGTGTATATGTACATGCATGTACTTGAGTATGCATGCACAGATGTACAGTATTTGTGCATTCACATATGAATTTTTTTAATATGTATGCATGTACTCTCATGCACTCTCTCGAAAGGCGTAGAATTAGGGGGGATATGATCGAGGTGTATAAATGGAAAACAGGAATAAATAAAGGGGATGTAAATAGCGTGCTGAAAATTTCCAGCCAAGACAGGACTCGCAGCAATGGTTTCAAGTTTCAAAGTTTATTCTCTATAAAGATTACAATGTTGAATTTACAGAATTTGGTTGTTGTGTGGTTTACATGTAGTTAAATAATGATTACAGAGTGTACCACTAGAACGCCTAGCATGGCTAGGCATTTCGGGCAGACTTAGCTTAATTCTTTATTTTAAAATATTACAAATTATGAGGTAAGTTGGTATTATGGCTGACTAAATACTAGTTTGTGAGTTTAGCAATGTGAATGCTTTTGTTTTGGCACAGTACATAGTTTCAGTATTGGAGTATCATAGGATTCATTATTTTAAGATTGAGATTAATATTTCTGTTTATGGTCAAATGGGTGAGCGAGTGTAAGTGTGAACCACCAGGTGGTATTCGTGTAGTTAGTTGATGGGGTTATCAGGGAGATAAGATGTTTTCTAATGGTAGTTTTGAAGGTGATGAATGTGTCTGCAGTTCTAGAGTTTCTCAGGTAGGGTGTTCCAGATTTTAGGGCCTTTGACATACATTGAATTTTTGTAAAGGTTTAGTCGGACATGGGGAATGTCGTAGAGATGTTTGTGTCTGGTGTTATGCCTGTGGGTTCTGTCACAACTATCAAGAAAGCGTTTTAGGTCAAGGTTGATATTGGAGTTTAAGGTCCTGTAGATGTAGATTGCACAGTAGTAAGTGTGGATGTACTGAACAGAGAGTAAGTTTAGATCTATGAAGAGTGGGGGGGGTGTGTTGCCAGGGATGGGATTTAGTGATTATTCTTACTGCAGCTTTTTGTTGGGTTATTATTGGCTTTAGGTGTGTTGCTGCAGTTGATCCCCAAGCACAAATAGCATAGGTGAGGTATGGATAAATAATGTGAGTGGTATAGTGTGAGAAGGCATTTTGCGGCACGTAGTATCGTATCTTGGAGAGGATCCCAACTGTTTTGGATACTTTTTGGTTATGTGTTGGATTATGGGTGGTCTGAAATTCAGGTTGTTGTCAAGGTATAGGCCTAGGAAATTTGCCCTCATTATGTCTGGTAATTAGAGTGTTGTCGATCTTAATGTTAATTTGTGCATCTCCTGCTCTGCTACCAAACATAATATAGTAGGTTTTGTCAGTGTTAAGCGTAAGTTTATTGGCTGTCATCCAAGTCGATATTTTGATCAGCTCCTCGTTAACAATGGTGTTGAGGGTGGCAAGATTAGGGTGAGAGATGACATAAGTCGTGTCGTCAGCAAAGAGAATGGGTTTCAGGTGTTGGGATACGTTTGGAAGATCATTGATGTATATGAGGAAGAGCAGGGGACCAAGGACACTTCCCTGCGGAACTCCAGTATCAAGTGGCCGTGTTGTTGATGCTGTGTCTTTAATGGTAACATACTGATACCTATTAGTAAGGTAAGATTTGAAATAAGCAAGCGCATGGCCTCTTGTACCGTAATGGTCAAGTTTGTGGAGTAGGATGTCGTGGTCTACTGTGTCAAAAGCTTTTCTTAGGTCAATAAAAATTCCTAGTGGATATTCCTTAGTAGATTTTCCAATGCTGTGTAAAGCAGATCTAGCATTTTTATGATTGCATCATTAGTGCTTTTATTTTTCCTAAATCCAAATTGGCAGGGGTCGAGTATGTTTTGTGCTGTTATAAATGAATATAGTCTCCTGTGCACGAGTTTCTCAAAGATTTTGGATAGCAATGGTAAGTTTGATATTGGCCTATAGTTGTTTAAGTCTGTTGGGTCACCACCTTTATGTATTGGTGTAACCCTTGCCATCTTGAGTAGTTTCGGGAAGGTGCTAGTTTCTAGTGACTTGTTAAAAAGTAATGAAATAGCATGCGAAAGGATATGGGCCGCTCGCTTGTACAGTAATGGTGGGACATTAGACAGATTCCCTGAGTTGTTTTTAAGTGACTTTATAATCTCGGTGACTTCCGAGGGCTCAGTTGGTGCAAGATAGAAGGAATTTGGGAAATTCCCATCTTGGTAGTCCCCGGCATGGGCATTAGTATGTGGGATTTTATTGGCGAGATTAGATCCTATGGTTGAGAAGAAGTCGTTTATCTTGTTAGCTGTGTCAGTGGGATGTAGTGGTGTTTCATTAGGTTTAGTTAGGACAATATTCTTGTTTTTTTTTCAGTTTGTGGGCCCCTAGAATCTGAGAGAGTGTTTTCCAGGTCTTTTTTATATCTCCTCTAGTGTCTGTGAATCTACTGGAGTAGTATAGTTGTTTGGCTTTCTTTATTACTTTGGTGAGAGCTGATGAATAGTGTTTAAGAATATCTTTGTGTATTAAGCCCTGTCTATATTGCTTTTCATATTGGTGTTTCTTGTCAATGGATTTCAGAATGGTGCTGGTTAGCCATGGGCAACCAAGCCGTTTGTTTGTGATCTGTTTCGTTTTTATAGGACAATGTTTGTTGTATAGTCTAAGTAATTTGTTAAGAAAAATGTCTGTCCAGTCATCAATACCATTGGCCTTGGAGAATTCTGTAGGCCAGTCAACAATCTCTAGGTCAGTTGTGAACTTCCTTATTGAGGCCTCATCATGGAGTCTAAATGAGACTTTGTTGTATTCAAGTGGTGGTTTATTAATGTTTGTCAGGAGGAAGGTAGGGTAGTGGTCTGTAGTGCTATCTTTGATTATCCCTGATTTAAGGGGGGCTAGTATATTGGTCCATATGTGGTCTATTATGGTTGCACTTGTCTCAGTGACCCTGGTTGGTTTAGTTATTGTTGGTATGAGAAGTGTGTTGTTCATATTGTTGATGAAATCAGTTACAGGCTGATCATCTAGTAAGCCAAGGTTGATGTTGAAGTCTCCAGCTAAGAGAAGGTGGTGCTTATTCATTGTCTGTATTGTTATTAGTGACTTTAATTTCTCACTGAAATTTGGGATGTTTGTGTGAGGTATCCGGTAATGGCACCGATTGTTATAGGTGTCTTAAGGTTTTTTACAGTAAAATTAGCAAAAATGTATTCCCATATTCATCACTAAAGCAAGTGGTGCTAATACAAGATAATGGTTAGAGTAATAGATTGCAATAACCACCCCCAACTTGGTTTGGTCCTGCAGTTGTGAATTGCTGTGTATCCTGGTAGAGGGTAGATATCTATTGTGTCCTGCTTAAGCCAGGTCTCAGTAAGAATAATGCAGGAGAAGTGTCTTTAGTGATTCAAGGAGTGCCAGGAGGTCATCAATTGTTTGCTTAAGGATCTGATGTTGTAGTTAAGTACTGATAGGCTTTTAGCATTGTTTAGGTAGTGCTGGCTTGTGATGCTGTGTAATAAAGGCAGTTACTTTCCAATAGGTTTTGATTGTGTGTCAGATTATGGAGGTTTAGATCAGGGTCAACGTGATCAATCATCTTCTAGGTTTAAATTATGGTTATTTATATCCTGAGTTATGTGTTGAGTTCTAGTACTGATATCTGTAGTGGTGGGAAGCTTGGATAAGTATATAGCTAGAGTATTTTGGTCATATAGAGTATAGTCACTACTACACATAATGAAGTTGATGTTGTC